GTTGAATCAAGACACTGATCCACTCCATTATTGGGATGGATAAATGTGGTGCAGAAACTCGGCGACGGGACCCATAATGGCGGCAATATAAATCTGAGGAAATGTAAGATTAATAGCAAGATGGGAAAGAAAAAAAGAGCATTTCTTCTCCACAAAAGAGTCTTGCCTCTTAGGAACATGTTTAAAGTATGAGAAGGAAACGTCACTCCTTCCATAAACTGCTGCAACATCCTAGACTTATACAATCTGTGATGAGGGGTAGTGAGTAGGCATTGCTTGCCTGCCTTTCTAAAGGTCATAAGACAAAAAGCGTAGCTCCATCTGTGGTTTAGTTAATAGACAGAAACTGATCTGCAAATATTTTGATAATAGATTACAAGTTTAAGTCATTTATAAAGCCAGAATGCCAAACATCCTCTGGTTCCAGTTCCCTAAATGTGAGGATATTCTGCTTGTACATCATTAAAAATGTAATACCAATGAGCTCTGGACTGGATCGGTTGGAGAAAACAATAACTTTGAAGACACCATCTTTGGGAACTCATGATGATGATTTTCTTTTTCATTGTTCAGGCATGAAAACAATCAGAATTAGTTAAAAGAATAAAAGTAATTGCAGTTGTTCTGTGATAAAACAGTCTGAGTCAGCAGCTGCCTCAGAGAGGAGCTCGATCTCAAAGAGGGGCTTTGGCCCAGTTTCGCTGCATTTAATTTAAATCCTCAAACAAGGTGACTTTCAAGTCTCTGCACCAGAAAACACCCACATAGAGCAACCTCGTTCAGAGCCCCACATCTCAAGCGCTGCAGTCTACCCCTCAATGTAGTTTGCTGACATGTTCGGGGAGAGAAGGGAGGGCGTGCAAGTTCAAGAGCTGAGCGTGGGAAGGCACCCACGGCCATGGACGAGGGAGGGAGATGGGAACTGGAGAGAGAAGCAGGGAGGGAGGAGGAGTGAGAAAGATAAAAAGAGACTGATTGGAGGCGAAAGGAGAGAGAGAAGGCTCGATGAGCCATGGGAGGTGCTTCTAAATTGCCAAACAGCCACTTCCTGCGAGCTATTCAGTGTTTAACTAAGGGCCTTTGTGTGTGTGTGTGTGTGTGTGTCAATGTGTGTTACCACTGGAATTTTAAGGACCCCCTTTTTTAGACTAATTACATCCCGACATGTTTTCGCAGACGGGGCTGTTTCTATGTCACTGAGCAATCTGCGCTCCGATCGTATGTCTGTTTGTACATTGTTAATATGTACAGTAGCTGTAGCATATTGTTCTGTATAGTATATATATGTCACACGAGGCATATTCGCTTTCTGTGTCAGCGCGTATTTAGCACTTAGTGTTGTTTGTGGAGGTGAGGTCACAGATCTCCCCCAGGGGTTGTGTGTGTTATTGTGTGTGTGAGGGAATATAGGGGATCCATTCAGGGTGAAATCGTTCATTCTGGCTAGACGGGGGGAGGGATAGAGGGTGAGAAGAACAAGAAGAAGGAGGTTGAATTGGATTGGGGGAAGGAGGGAGGAAGGGAGGGAGTGAGTGAGGGAAAGGGGGGGTAGAGAGAGTGGGAAGGGGGGAGGGCTGTAGTCTGTTGTGAAAGAATGCTCTCTTTCTTTCTTTCTTTCACTCTTTCACTGAAGCCCGTCTTTAGATTGGCTCAGTATATCTGTCTCAAAGGCTTTCATGCATCCACTCATCCAGCTGAGAAACACACAAACACACACACACGCACACAAACAAGGTCCCACACAGTGTCCTTTAGTCCGTCACCACAACACAACACAACACACACTCACACTGCGTCACACACTCACAACACAATAGAGAGAGATCCTTCTGTGTAGTGTTTTTCTTTCTGATGTGATTTGGCACAGGTTCATTTGTATTCAGATCTCGAGCTCTGAAGTTGCTCAAAACTTTCTTCTCGCACAATGTCTTTCACTCACTCGTGTTCTTGTCCTCCCCTATTCAGAAGTTTTTTTCTCTTACACAAACTAAATAAATACAATTGTTCAGCATTCATTCACAAGAGCAGTTGGTCTCTGATGACTTTGACTGTATCGGGGATGCTGACTCCGTGGCTTTCTGCAAGAAAACTTTTATTATTTTTTTTTTTCCTGAGGAGTTGAAATAGGAGCTCTTATCCTGAGGTTCTACAGCGCATTGGGATAGCTTGTGTGTCTATCTGTGTGTGTGTGCACGCGTTCTTCTGTTTGTATTATGGTAGAATCGCAGAGTCAGCTACCAGCCACAGTTAAACAGCTGCAGAACATTACAGAGGAATCATGTGACCTGTAATAACACACACATATATTCCCAGCTGTGGAAAGTAAGACCGTAATTGGTATTTTGAATCGTATGCTACAGTTTGCACAGTGGAAGACATTATCTCATAGCATTTTGAAAAGAATCACAGTGGATCAAAGACCAAAGGTGCCACTCTTGAATCTTTTTTTGTGTTTAAAGATCAAAACACAAAGGCCTTTTTCTGAATATAGATTTTGCCGTTAGTGTTTTGGTTGCTCTTTGACTCTCTTACAGGTGAATGTGAGCAGAATGAACCTGAGGTCAGTCACCACCGCAGGAAAGAAGTTGTGAGGACAGAAGGCAAGGCCAGACCACAGAGGAGCACACAGGCAGGGAGAGTGCAAGGACAACTTAGTGGAGTGGAAGTGATTGATCCTGTCAGCTTAGACACACACACACAGGGGCACACACACACACACACACACACTGAAATGGACAGATTGAAAGTAGATCACTGTGCCTGGGCGTTTAACATTTAGCCCCTCCTCCAGCCTGCAAGCTGATCTCCAGCAGTGTAGATGTGAACACACACTTACATCTAAGTGTACACACACACACACACACACACACAGCGAAGCTCACCATGCTTATTAGTAGCTAATTGATCCATGCTTAATCTGCTCTGATGGTTTGTCAGCCCGACAGCTAAGCTAGCGGCCATTATACGCAGAGGGAGGAGAGTGAAGTGGCTGCAGAGACCTGGTCAGATTTAACATTAAGCCCATATACAGTTTAACATTAAGCCTGTATACCAGACATCAGCAGTCGTGGCTCAGTTGTTCTTGCTTTATATGCATGATTAGTTGAGTTTAAGTGTCAAGTGATTGTTAAAATCAAGCATAAATGTGAGACAGTCAGCTTCTCAAATGTAAGCATGCCCGGCTTGTCCTAATTTTTTGGTAGTCAGATAAAAAAACAAGCAATCTAAAGACATTTTTTTGAAATTGTGATGGGAATTTACTATATTCACTCAAAGAATGAAAAAGTTTTGATTAATGGACTAAAACAGTCTTATAGGGCTGCAGCCAACAGTTCCATTATCTCATTATTTTTTTGATGATCCATTTGAAATAATGCTGATTTTAATGTCCCAAAGCTAAAAGTTATCAAAAAAATGCTTGATAAGTGAAATAATCAATTGATTATCTAGGCTAGTGTCCAGTTAGTTTTCTATTGATATTCTTATCGATTGACAAACTGTTCCAGCTCTACAATTAAATTCATAATGCACTTTCTTTATCATATCACTTTCCTCGATATCACTGTATCTGTGTCATCCCATGTCATTGTTGTAGCGTGATTTATGATGGATGGCTGTCATTGAAACCTCCATTGTATTGTCCATATATATAGCGTGAGATTTCATTCTCATTCTGCAAAGCTTAATGCATCTTACTCTATATGGTTTAAGCCCTAACGGTAAATTTAAAGGCACAAGAGATCAAACAATGCATTAGTGGACCACTGTACGCCTTAATCATAGCACAACGTCTCTAGCACTAAGCCAGCAGATAAAAACAGGATAATACCAGAGACCTGGAATCTACAGAGCTTATCTCCCCCCTCCTATCCCATCAGGATCCTTTCCTCCCATCCTTCGCTCATCTTCTTTAACCTGTTGGAGAAAAGCAGTCTGGGAAAAAGCAATCAACTGCTTTCCTCCCACTCAGCCCTGCTTTCCCAACTGCTTTCCCATGAGAAAGCAACACTGCAGAGTTCCTTTCTGATTGTTGTGAACATTGTAACTCAGGTTGTAATGGCAGAGAGCAAGAGTCACTTTAGGGTGAACATTTTAAGTTAATTGTAATTCTTGTAATTCACCTCACCTAGCTGTAGGCTTAGAGACCTCGTACAATAGAAGCACACTGATGCCTCAGCAGGGACTCAGATCTGTAGTTTGAACTGCTGTTCAAAAATTAGCCCTCCTTTCTCCCTTCAGATGTCACATTACACCACTGCAGATCACATCCTATTATGTTTCATATTGTATCATCTACTGTAGTCTTCTAGTGACCCACTGGCCTGGTCAGATTGGCCTCAGCCTTCCAGATCTGATACCGTGCCCTTTGCTGGCCTGGTTATACATCTGCCACAGTTCACACTTTACTTGGAAATGCTGACCTTATTAGGCTGCATTGTTTTTCATTGTGAAAAGAGATTTGTGCCTTTGAAGACAAGCTAGTGACAGCGTATCAGCTGGCTCTGGTGTGACTGGTCACTCCGAACAATTATTTCTTTGATGTTTCTGCTTTTGGAGATTTTCCTTGGAAAAATAACAAGCAAAATCAGGCCACAGGGATAAGAAGACATTTCAGATAAACAACAGATTACATTCCCAAATTGTTGGAGATATATCAGTGTTTATCCTCTTGGGGTCGCAGTGTGGGTCAGTTGGTTGGTTGGGTCCACCACTTCGGTCTGTTATAGCTCAACAACTATGAGATGGATTGCCAGGAAGGTTTGTACAAACATTGGTGATCCCTTTTGGTTGCCTTCAGAACTAATGACACCCCCATCAGCTTCAGCTGTACTTAGTGTTCAAATTGGCAAATGTTTGCATGCTATCACACTTTTATCTCAAGGCTGTGTACATCCGGCTGTAGACTCTTAGTGTTGTTAATCCTAGAGCAGGGCTTCCCAACCTTTTTGGCTTGTGATCCCTCAAAATGAAATATGTCAACCCATCATTAATGACTGTATATGTCACCAGTTGACCAGTTCTGTTTAGCCTTTTCCCTCATTCTGTCCTCCCTAAATAATGATCTTTCAAGGTCTGAAGATTATCCAGTAATTCACAAGACAAAAATGCAAAGATTAGTGGAAAATCAGAAAAAATCTAAATTATTTTGTAAGGCAGAAATGTTTTTCTTCATCATCTAGCAACCCCACAGATATATCTTGGGGTTGTCCTGACCTTCAGGTTGCCCCAGAATATTAATGCTTACAATATCGCATTACTGATATATTTTAAGAAACAAAAATCATCATATTTAATGCATTGTTAAAGATGATGTCAGTTTTGGCACATAAACACTACAATACATGTGCATATTTACAGTAGAGGTGCATAAATTGCCTCAGGGTGAGGAAATTGTTGGCTGGCAGTGAGGAAAAATTGAGGTCAGCACAAAAAACAGCAGTTAAGAAGCCAGGAAGTCTGTGAGGATCTTAGAGGTGGAGACAGATTTTGTTATCATCCACGGAGGAGTCCCCAGAATCACACTGTTGCTGTTTCTGACCGAGCAGAACTGCGACAGAAATCCTTTGTCTATTGTAAGTAGTCCAGCAGGTGGAGATTTTGGTTCTCCAGGAACGTGTCTTTGTCTCTCCACGGTCCTGGAGTGCAATGACTTTTCCAGACACTCCAGAGGGGAAAAACTAACATTACTCTGTGTGTGTGTGTGAGATAAAAAAAGATTTCATCAGTTCCAGGCAAATTGCTGTAACAGCCCCCATCTCTGTCTTTATGCATTTCTCCCTTTTTAGTGTTCAGTTCAGTTCAGTCATCTTCTTTCACATCTTCTTCCTTTTGGTTTCAAATTTACCCCACCACCCCCCCCTTCTTTCTGTCTACCCCCAACACCCCTTCCTTCTTTTACACTTCAAAGCTTTTAGAGGGTGTGTGATCTGTGTGGTGGGTCTCTAGCGCACACAGCTCCCCAACAGCATCGCTTCCGCTCACTCCATGGAGGTGTGCGTGTTTGATGGTGTGCAAATGTGTTTTTCATGGTATCCATCAAACCCCCCTTTTAACAGACACTATTTTCCTGCCTCAAATAGCTGGAGAGGGGAACACAATTTGTGCATCTGCGTGCGTCTGTCTACACAGGAAAACCATGTGATCTGTCTATGTATCTGGTTTCTGCTCCTATCAGCTAATTTGCTTCCTGTATATTTAACCCAGTTCCTAAATCTTCCCCTTCCCTGTGATAAGGACAACTCTCAAACTCAATGCATGTGTGTACTGAATCAACCACGCTCAAAGTATAACATAAATCCTGTTATGAAATCATACATTTCTTGTTCTCCCCAGTCCATTTTGCTGCTCGGCGCTGTGGCGTTGCTGTGTCTGGGCCTGGACCTCCTCTTCCTCCTGTTCTACTCATTCTGGCTTTGCTGCCGGCGACGCAAGAGTGACGATTCCTCGCACTCCCATTCGCACTCCCAGCAGCCCAGTGCCGACTGCTGCTGCACCGCGTGGTGCGTCATCATCGCCACCCTCGTCTGCAGGTGAGAGGGTTATCCCCATAAGAGTAACACCTCCATATACTAATGACAAAGTCACGTGTATTTAAAGAAAGCTTAAGCCCCTTTTCCCCTGCAACCACAGGAGAAATGTATTTGTTTTATTAAGAATGCTTGCGTGAGTAAATGTTGATATATTTAACCATTCTCCCCCATTAAAGGATTTGCCCTCTAGCCTCAAGGGGAGACTGTAGCTTTTTCACTGGGGAGTAGGGGAGTTTTCTGGCTCTGTACATTAGAGCCTGTTGCTGTACATCTCTAGACCATCACTGAAAAAACACAAGACAGACACACAATTACCCATATTAACCACATGTGCGCTCATTGTGCTGTAAATGTCTTTTAATTCATGGTCATGTTTCCATCTACCTGTTTTTACGATTCTTTTTACGATCGGCTATGGTTGAAAAGTTGGTATGCTGAAGAATGTGATAAAGGCTGATGGAACAAGCCCTTATGTCAAGGTACCTGCTTCTGCTTCTTCTGCTGCAGACAAAGCGCTCATTTCACTGTTACATGCTAGGCCCAGATGGGCGCTATTGTTGTACGTCACTCCTGTCTCTATCACCATAGCAGCTGATAAAAAGACTGCATTTAAAGGTGGATTATATATTCATTCTAGAAAAGGAAATGGCATAGCTTGGAAACAGCAATGAAATGCAATGATATTCTAGAGTTACTGGAGCTTAATTAATTAATGATTAACTTCCTGACCCCTTTTTCATGCAAACATGCACTGATTCACATTTTATTCAACAGAAATGTCAGAAATGTGCTGAAAACTTGTCCAACATTTTAATAATTAAACATAACCAGTCTGCCTGATATACTGTAAACTGCGTATTGCAGTTGTGGTGTAAAACCATAATGTTTTTAATTCGGTAAAAAGGTGATATGCTCCTCTGTTAGTTTGGAGAAGAAGGGATGATAAACAGTTTGATTATGTCAAACATGTACTACATGGTTTTCACTCAACAGCAGCCATACGTACTGTACATAATGAAATCTACCTACATTCAGTCCACTCGGTCTCGTTTAAGCGAGAAAGCCCATGTGGTGTAATTGGGAGCCAGCCAGGTGGTTACGCTCCACTGTTTGTGTTTATCTGACCCTAAAAGGTGTGTGTACACTCGGAGATCTTTCCCCCAAGTGACCCAGCAGCTGGGTAGAGTGCATTTCGACCACTGAGGCTGTGTGGACTCTGCTCTTTTTGGCACACGAATGCACGCACTCTCTCAACACTTTTCTGCTCACCCTCTCCTGACATTTTGTACCTCTCTACCCCTTTTCCTCACCTCTGTTAGTCCCCCTCCGCTATTTATTATGTCTTTCTGTTCGGCCTTCTCCCTGTCCTAGAAAGGTTGCCATGGAGACAGAAGCAGATTTGATGCAGAGACGAGAAATGAATTATACAGTCAGGGGGAGCTATGTCTGTGTCTGTGTGTTCGCGTGACTCAGTGTGCTGAAGAGTGTTTTTGCAGGTTTTAATATTTTATGATTAGCTATAATATTTCTTATTGAATATTTGATCTGAGTGTGTGTGTGTGTGTGTGTGTGTGTGTGTCTGGGGGGAGGGGAGCGCGCTCTCGTGATTCTTTGTCCACAATTTAGTATGACATCATATTTTATTTTTGGAACAACCCCAACCACATGTGGACTTCCTCCATTTGTGTGCAGGTGCAGTGTGTTTTTAGAAGCTGTATCTTGTATTAGGTTGTTTACTGTTGTGTGCTACGTGGTGCTGAAAGGATGAGTCGATTAATGGATTACTTAAGCTGCAGAAAATCTAATAATGTTTATGGTCAGTTATTTGAAAATCACACATTCCAGCATTTGCCAGAATAAGTGGAATATTATTAATAGTAATTATAAGATGTGACCTGAAGCATTTTTTGGCATTTCATAATCAGAATGATTCCTTTTTTAATCGAAAAAGTGATTGATTATTAAATAACAAACATAATTGTGGGTAAATCAATACAGCTTTTTCCTCACCCGATACTCAATTCAGAGTATCTGCCATATCTGCTACTACACCAACACTAGTGCTCACTCCCCAAATTTAAAATCTATACACCACACTGCTTTGAACTCATTGTAATACTGAGTAAGGTGAGATGAGGCCAGGGGATGCTGTTGCACCAACAACTGACTCTGCAGACTGACAGCTCTAACACTGAAATGTATTATTACAATGGTATAGAAACTAGTTCAAGTTATAATTCTTAAGATTTGGTGACCACTGTGATTACCGGTGGTGCAAGTAAGGAATAAATAATGAGTAGTGATCAAAGCACGGGAATGCTAATTAAAGTCAGTGTGAGAGCCAATACAGATTGGATTGGTGCATACCTAAAAATAATCATCAGTATGCTACCCTAGTCTTATATCGCTGGTAATATTTACATTTATATTTATATGGGACAGCACGTTATGTATTCAGGATGCACTGTGTATAAAATAAGACATATAATTTAGCTGTACCACTAATTGGATGCATGTATTTTGGATTTAGGTGAATCATTTTGGTTTGGACTTGAACTCATCGTGGACCCAGTTTTGACTGAATACAGACAGACATTTACTATCTCATCTACTGAGCTCCAGCTGAGTGTATTTTAGTGTGCCCATCTAGGTTCTGCAAATCATTTTTAATGTTAAGATGTCAGTCCATTTCAGCTGAAAATGGACTGAAGCAGAGACTAAAAGGAACATCTATCTTTCTAAATTAGCATCCTTCAGAACAGGTTGCTGGTCCTAAAATAAAAAGATGTATCAGTAATGTAGAGTACGCATGTTTTTTCTATTTTGGAGCTTTTTTTTAATCAGAGCTAAGCTGGCCAGTGTTTGCTGTCAGTTATTTGACGTCTAAACGTTTGCCTCACTGTCTTTTATGTTATGAAATCCCCTGATAGGAGCAGCAGGTATTAAACCAGCAAGATAAAACCCACTGGAGAGAGGAGGACAGAGGAAAGGATGGATGAAGGGAACTGGAGAGAGAACAGGAGAGAAGAAGAGCATGAGTAAACAGGAGTGAAGGGAGATGATTTACACTTAGAACTGAGATGACATGGAGTCTGGAGTAAGATGGTGAGGGGCAGGGTTTGGTGGGGAAACAGATAAAAGAGAAGGTATTTTAATCAACATACAAATCACATACCGGTAAATGTGTCTCCGTTCCTGCATTCATCTTTATTTTATTCCTCTTGTCAAGCCTGTTTCCCTCTGTATCTGTTGTTTTATGTCACATGTACACATAAAGTCCACCGTAAAGTTTTAAACCGCGCACACACATACTTACACAGTGTGTGTGTGTAAACCCGCTGTAACACGGGGCTACTCAAGATCTAATGGTCTAGAATGAATTGCCTTAACAATGGCCATAAATTTCCCTTTACAAATCTGTCCGGTGTTAGTGTGCAGACAGAGCCATCATCAATACAGTACAGTCATACACACACATGCACACATACAGTACACAAAGAGAAAGGCTTACAGGCTGAGGGTGAGGGAGGGGCTATGTGGAGGGGGGAGAAGGGGTTAGATGTTATGAAGAAGAAATTGTTAAGGAGATTTCTTTGGGGGTGGTGGCGCTGGTGGTGGTGTTGGGTGGGCGATTTGTGGTTTGAACAAGATTAAGGAGGGTTGGGAATAAAGGGTGTTAGGGCAAAGAACCTCAGATATTGTAGCATGTGTCATGTGTGAATGTGGATGCAGGGCTGCAGAAGGATCATATTATGTGCGGTCTGGTGACCCAATTATTGTGTGGACTCTGTGTGTGTGTGTGTGTGTGTGTATGTGTGTATGTGTGTAAATCATTCCTAGTAGTCCTGTGCTTGCCTGAGGCCTGAGGGTGACACCAAATCAAAGAACATAGAGCTCAGCGCCGCCTGTTGCTGGTTAACAATGGAACTGCACGTAATAACTTCACTGTCTTTGCTGCGGTTTTGTTGTGTGTGTGTGTTTGTGTGTGACTGAGAGAAAAGCAGAAATCATTGAACTCATTCATCTATATTGATTAATTCGATGCCATCTGATGCTTGAATTAGTAATTGTGTTAACACTTGGCACTTCCTGTTTTCTGCCTCCCAGTGCTGGCATCGCTGTAGGATTCTATGGAAATGGGGAGTCGAGTGATGGAGCCAATCGTTTGGCTTACTCCCTCCGTCATGCCAACCGCACCGTATCTGGGGTGGAGAAACTGGTGAGTTACCTGCATGGTTACCAAACATGCATGGTTACACTTTTTTGGTTACACTTTTTTCTCATAATCCAATAAGAATTCATTAAAAAAAATTCAAATTCAAATAAATGTCTCTTTCCTGTGAATGTGCAGGTGTCAGACAGCGCCTTAGCCTTAAACCAGACAGTGGAGGAGAGCTTAGTCCAGTTGGAGACAGCCTTCCAGGATCAGACAGACTACGTGTCCATCGTCCAAAAGCTGCAGGGACAGCTGGACGAGTTGGTGAGGCTGATGGTGGATGTTCCCTTCTGGACCAATACTGACATTTCCCTGGAGGACTTGGCCCGCAAGACGGAGGCTTTCGATTTTTACAGGTCGGTACTAATAAGTAAAGTCAAACTGAAACTGAGCTTTAGTAGAAGAAGCTTTTTTAAAAAAAGCAAGTGATCAGATTGTGACCTTGGTATGTGAAATGTCCTACATGGTGTATGTTAAAGGATTAATAAGCTCAGTCTCAAAAGACCTACCACCCTCTGCTGGTGTATTAAAAAATGAAATATCCTTTGTTTGTATGAAACATTAAGTCATTTTGTATATGTGCAGGTGGTTGGGGTACCTTGGCCTGCTGCTGTTTGATGTACTCATTTGTCTTCTGGTGCTCTTCGGCCTCATACGCAACTCTAGAGGCACTCTGATTGGGTAAGGTATTTCACGTCATACCCCAAAAGTTGCTCCTATTGGACGAATCAAATCCTCTCTAGACTCTGAAACTGTGTCTGTTAAAGCTGTGTAATGCATGCCATGTTGGTAAGCTGAGTCTTAACTTAAAAAATCTGTATTTTTTTTGTCCTTCAGAGTGTGTCTGCTTGGGGTTCTGACTCTGATAATCAGCTGGGGGTCTCTCGGTCTGGAACTGGCTGTCGCTGCCGTAAGTGTAACCATGGCAACATCGCAGAGCTCTCTGGCTCTGCAATGATGTAATCTTTTCCCACAGCTCGAGCGAGCGTGTTCAGTGTGGATGTTACTGTAGCCCGATGTGTCATGTGTGCTTACCCTCTTACAGTCAGCCAGCGATTTCTGCGTTTCCCCGGATACCTATGTCACCAGGGTAACCAAGGAAAACGCTGTCATCAACCAAGGTACGCAGACAAGAAGACACAGAACCAGTGAACTGGTAGCAGCCATTTTTGTGGTGTTTGTGCTCGAAAAACAGTGTTTCCAAACCTTGTAGGCTTGTGAAAACAAAGCAGACTCACAAGTCCATTTGTTGTGAGCAGTTCAACCAAAGACTATTTTTTACTTCTCAGGTTATTTTACTTTAATATCTTTAGAGGCTGAGATGATTGGTCAATGGACTGCTCCTAGGCAGATACTGTAGGTTGACAAAGAAGCAGAAACGTCTTGAATAAACTGTAGTTTCCACACTGACAGTTGAATCTCACCCTGACAATGTTGCTTCTATTTTAAGACACAAGTGTGTGCGTTCGTGTTTGTACGAGTGTGTATCCAAGGGGATTGTGTTTGACTGACACTCTGGTATCTAAAAGCTCTTCCCCTCTCTCTGCTGACTGCAATGCATCAGCAATCCCGCACCCCATCTCGCTCTTCCTCCTGTCTGTCCCAGATGTAAAAAAAAAAAAATCTGAGCACACTTTTGCTTTTTCACTTAGGATCATTATCTGATTTGTTCTCTCTCTTCATCCTTTTATATCCCTCTTTACCTCTCAATTGCTCCCTTTCTTCCTCTCCCTCTCTCGCTTCCCTCTTTTCACTCATCTAATGAGTTCTGTTGTCTGTCAGTTGTTTCCGCTCTGTAGAGCACAGATGTTGCCTCTGTAACACACACACACACAGACACACAGTAATGCTGCTAACATGCCTCCATAGAGAGATACTGGGCTTAGAAAGTCTTGTTATATACAGTCAGTGTTTTCTTTCTTCCATTAAACTGCATATTTTCAGTGTGTGTATTATTGTTCTGTTGATATGTATTCCTTGGTACATTCCCAGATATCCTGCAGTATTACCTGACGTGCAGCTCTGGCCAAATTAACCCCTTCCAGCAGGTAACGTCACCCTCTTGTTAGAGTTATTCTTTTGCTTTTAGCTTTTTATAGAATAGGCTTCTCCTGGTTTAAGCAATTAAATAACCAAAAGATGTGTTTGTGTGTTTCTTTTGTTTGTGTCTCTCTGTATGTTTGGTAGAGGCTGTCAGGGAGTCACAAAGCATTGGTGGAGATGCAAGATGATGTGGCAGAGCTACTGAGATCAGCAACACGTGATTATGCCACCACTAAGGTTTGTGTGTGCAATGATCTGTAGGTCTTTATCGTCACGGATGTGTGGATTTGCATTAGTGGGAGCGTGATGAAAGTGGCAGTTACAAAAGTGCCAGCGCAGACGTGTTTATCTGGTGCGTGTGGATGTACTAGAAGGTGGATATCTATATTTGAGCATGTGAAAACCTTTGCTTTGTGTGTGCAGGGGAGTCTCGAGCAAATCCAGTCTGTGCTGAATTCCACCGAGGTTGGTCTTCACCAGCTGACTGCTCTGGTCGACTGCCGCAGCCTACACATGGTGAGTCACTTTGCGTGCTGTGTTAGAGAGGAAAAAAGTCCTCAAATCCAAGACTTCTTTAACAACTGAACTCCTCTCCTCTTTCTCTCCACGTAGGACTATGTTCAGGCGTTGACTGGACTGTGTTATGACGGGGTGGAGGGTCTCATCTACCTGGTTCTCTTCTCCTTTGTCACTGCTCTGATGTTCTCCTCCATTGTGTGCAGTGTGCCACATACCTGGCCTGGCAAGAGGTAACACACACACACACAGTCTCTCTTACAAACACACACGAGACCTACACAAGCTTTTACATTCCTACACCTATCTTGTTAGTTAATCTGTACACTAACAGCTAACATGTTACTAGTTCTAACGTCTTAATTGTCTAACTAAATTCATCTTATGACCTGAACACAGTGGAAAGACCCATAAAGAATCTATTCGGTGCCCATGCATGTCATTCTTTAAGTGTATTTGCCTCCTGAGCTGTCGTATCTTACGTCTTCCTGCCTGTCTTTGCATCCATCCAGTTTTCTCTGCAAGTTTTGTTTATTTTATTGTTTGCCGTTAGCACTGCCAGTCTGGCTGATTGTTTGTTCCTATGTTTGTACATATCTCTCATTTTCTTTTCTCCGCTGTGGACTTGGAGCACCACTGTTGTGTTAGATTGTGTATCACCACGTTTTTTTTTCTGTGCCCCACTTCCTCCTTCTGTTCCGTCCCTTCCTCCTCTCTCCCTGTCCTGATTTGGAAATGCTTTGGGCTTCAGCGAATGATGGTGGATATTGAGGAAATTAAACGACCCTATGGTCTGATAAATGGCCCGCTCAAATAGCCAAACAACCAAATTATTTTTTTGTTAAAATCAGTGGAAAGAGCTTTACAGTGTACATGCAGTGACAGATTTCACTCCGGTGAATGATTTGAATAGTGAAACACTGCTAGTGGTGTTTTACGCTTGTTTGTTGGGTGTGAATTACCAGCAACGCTAAAGTATGGCCCAGCAGGTATTAAACAATAATCCATAATGTCCCCGAATTCAGCAAGAATAACTGCTCATGGGGTTGGTTGCTTACTAAGGCGGACTGTGCTGCAAGTGCTGAGTCTGTTTGATGGGCCACACAGTTTAGCTCTTTTTGGGTTGCCTGGGTGAAACACCTCCATCTGGTGGCCAGTCAATGAAGTAACCTCTTTTGTGCCTTTGGTCTCTGTTAACACCAGCTCCCTCTCTCTTTACTTCTTTGAAACCAGCTTTATGGGACTGCTAGCATGTTGACAGCTGGTATAGACTTCCCAAAAACAACAAAGAAAAAACAAAAAAGTCACAATAATAGGGTCTACGTATGCACATTTACATGTACTTTGTGGTTGTCATTGTAGAAGCCAGTACATTTCTGTAGCCAGAGATCCAACTTCCAAATCAGCACATATCTTATTTGATGCCTCATTCTGTTACGTTGCTGGCCGTTTTACATTTTTGACCATTTTATGTCTGAAAATGGTTTGCCCAAACCAGCCATATTATCTCCTTTTTTCCTGATGTTTTTGCTTTAAGTTTCATGGAGCACTCAGTGATGCATGAAGTACCTTAAAGAAAATAGATTTTTGAAAATTTGATTTTGTGTGGACAATTTGAAATGGACAGTAATGATCAGGTGTGAATCCTCTAGAGAGGTTGGCTGCATGAAGAAAAAAATGACTGCATGTTTCTACGTATTAAGAGAACTTTAAGGAATATCGAAGAGTCTACTATCTTCATACAGTTTAATATTGTGTAACCTCACACAGCAACAAAAAACTGCTTCATGGGTCCACTCTGGGCTGTGTAGTAATATTAGAAACCTGTACTGTACTTGTAGTGGATCTGTATAATAGATGAATGCTGCCCATGTTCCTTTTCTTCTTGTTCAGCTGCTTTGGGGCTGACGGCATGGCCTTACCCAGTCTTTTGTATCAGGGGACGCCACATAGTACAAGTACACCTTCCCCTCTCCTAACCTCCTCTTCAACCACTTGTTTACACTCTGTTGTCTCTCTCGGATCTCCCTCCCCTCTACCTTTTCCCCTCCTATCCATCACGCCCTCTCGTGCCCTGCCCCTACCCTGACCAATTGAAGGACGGATGAGGAAGACGGAGAGGACGAGTCGGGTGCCTCACGGGGCGGTGTGCACGATAACCTGTACCGCGTTCACATGCCCAGTCTCTACAGCTGTGGCTCCAGCTACGGTAGCGAAGCTAGCCTGCCCGCTACAGCCCACACTGTCAGCAATGCCCCCGTCACTGAATACATGTGAGTTAGCACCCACCGCTAGCTAGAGGCTAGCAGGATCAATACACTGCCTGCCATAGGTAGCTGATGCTTGTCCCCCGTGACCCAGACTAGCCGCATAGCAACGCTCACTGCCTGCAATAGGATAAGGTAGAATAGCTAGTGTTTTTGCTATGTATGGCTCGCATGTCCTTTGTGACACACTGTCAGCAATATTGGTTAGAACCCTTCACTAGCTTTCCCTTTGATGCTGATAGAAAAATGGCTACCTGCTGTATCAGCCAGCCTGCCTGTTTCAGTCCACAAAAACCCTGTAATTCAGGTCTGCACTTGCCATACGTTAATAATTTCACCCTGCTTGCTACATGTTACAGTTTGCCACAGGACTGCTTGTTCGGAACACACTAAAAATATAGAAGAGAAATAAGCATATATTTCTCCTGTCTGCCACTGCTTGCTACTATTTTAGGCTACTCAAGTATGTTGGTTTTGCTGCCAAGGAAAGAACTGTAACTGCAGCAAGAAATAAGAAAATAGACAACACATGTATTCTGAAAGTTGTGGCATTTTGACTTTTTTGGACCAATAAAGGACCATGGGTTTCATGTTTTGGGCTAATCAACAAATCCTGTATGCTTAACAATACTGATGACTATTTGCCAAAGCATACATACATAGCTTTTTAGAGTGATTCATTTCCTTCCATGTAACCAGAGAGTCCGTTTTGGTTCATACCAGAATGGTATTACACTTAGTCAGACACAAAAGAAGTACTGCCTCACAGTGAATGTTTGGTCATATTTGCTTTTTAGTCAAAGTTAAGCTATCATGGAATGAATTTACAGTTTTTAGCATATATTTTTCTTTGTTGTGCTTGTGAAATTTCACATTCAAAAACAAGAGTCAGCTGCCAGCAGCAAGACTACCAGCTGCCAGTTTCACTTAATCCTAAGAAATTAGTTCAGTAACTTGCAGTAGACCTATACTTAATAAATAAATGAACTTTATTAATATTTTGGCTGTAATGTAAACGATATATTTATAGTTAATGGACCAAAACATAGAAAACCATTTATTTGTCCTTCATGTATGAAGTGCTTATATTTTATTTTAAACGGAAACAGAGCTTTAAATACTGAACAATGATTAATGTTTCTTGTTTATATCAAGCTACTTGGGTGAAATTACATAGTGTAAATACTTTGGACTGTTTCAGGTACTTTTGATTTATTTTCCTTGTGGGGACTATGGTGTTCTCCCATTCATATCTACCTAAGGTTTGTAGGTGTCTGACTGTTATCATTTATCATCAGTGATCATTTGCACTGTTAATAGTAGTTAATATACGCAGAGATCAAGGACATAGCTACTATTTGGCTTTCTATTAAATTATGTTTCCAAGGGACATTTAAAGCTTAATGAACTAACATTTTATGTTTAAAGTCTTATTTTTTTTATCCTTTAATAGCTGAAATGTTGGTTTAAAAATCACCAATATATATATTTTTTAAATATGCACCTAAGGCTGGTTTCGTGTGGGTCCCCACACGGACAAAAGTACTATTTTACTGAGCCAGTATCCCATTGTGGGACGAACTGTTTGTCTTTTGTGCATTATTAAGAAAGAACATTAACTATGTTGGACTGTGGCAGAGGTGTTTAACCCCTGGCTCTATGGTACCATCAAGCTGAAGTCCCTGACTTGTTATTATTACCGAGGCCATTTGTCAGAGAGTCATTAAGTTGTAATCAGGAGCAGACCACAGATCAGCAACAGATCAACAACTGAGCCCCAGTGGCAGGGTGACCACATGCAGTAACCTCTTATTCTATAATGCAGGAGCCAGAACGCAAACTTTCAGAACCCTCGGTGTGAGAACACCCCCCTGATTGGCAGGGAGTCCCCTCCACCCTCTGTAAGTGCACATTTTCTAGAACACACTCTCCCTCCACTATCTTCCAATACCCACAGTGCAGCTGGGAAATATTCAAAACCGCAGTACCCACAGAGATGGCATTTTACAATTTCAGAATGTAATGAAGGAAGCATGGTGTTGATAAATGTACTTGTATCTTATGTCTGATGCTAGTGTGGATATTGGAAGGTAGTCCCCTATCCCTACACCACTGCAAGTGTACTCTGTGCTCAATCTAGAGCGTGATCATGGATCGCCTTTTAAGAAGGTCATTTTGGCAGCCTGGGATACCTGGAAGTTTGAAGCCTGTTGTTAGTAGGATTTGCACTTGCATCAAAAGAGAGGCTTGTCTCTTTTGATAAGTGTAATTGTTTGGTCATGTTAGACACAAAGTTGTCCTCTATTTCTGATGTAAAAAGTCTGGTTGGTTTCTCTGTGGCTGTCACTGCCATGTGAGGAGAACTTGTAGACCAGCTCAGAGACATTATTGAGAGAACCTCAATATTTAGAACTGTAGTGCATCAAGCTTTTTCTTCAATACCAAAATACATAATTCTGCCAGTCTCCTGCAGATGTCTGAACTGCACCTCTTGTTTTAACTATTTACCCTAAACAAGTTGACTAGTCTGGCTTTGACAAGGTGCTGCTGGGCCTGTACTTGTGGATGTTGTAGCATGCAGTATCAACTGTATACATTTGGGGCTACAATACCGTGGACTAAATTAAACCAACAAATCCAGCATTATTACTTCTGAACACCTTTTAGGATACATCCCTTTCTCTGTACTTATGCAGTGAAGCTGAAAATGTTTGACAGTTCTGCCCCTGAGTAAACTCGAGCCCAAACCTCTAAAATTCCTGCTCCCCCTGTTCCCACAGTGTGTCTATGTGTGCATTTTCTTGTCGAGGTGTATGTGTCCTCTGTTTCTGTGCCCCTTCACCCTTCACCATTAAACAGTCACAGGAGCACACGTCTCCCACCTCCACTGTTGAACTGTAGCAGCCACCAAAAAGGCCACGATTCATCATTCTTAGGCAGGGCTGTCGACGGGGCCGCCGTCCTGTGCCAGAGTGCTCACCTGTCATCAGCGTCTGCAGTGATGTGGAAACCGGAGAACCTCCGACAGTAACTAGTTAGCCGCTCACAAGAGACCACTAACTCATACCAGGCTAACCTACTACATCAGAACTAGAGCACTAACTACAAACCACTGACAAAATGGACCACATCTGCTAATTTACAATAACATCATCCAGACCTAATCAGCTGTTATATAATGAATGACTGTTGTAATCAAACCCCCGGCTGTCCAAATGACTGGTCAAAGTATTTCTGCTGTAGCTGTGTCTGTTTGTTTGCCCCATATGTCATCTATCTATCTATCTAT